TACATGACGACATACATGGTTTTGTTGGTCTTTTTTTGATTTTTTAGTTTTTTTCACTTTCCTTTTCAAAATTTTATCACACCATCTCAAGAGAAATGTATGAAAAATGCACCTACATTTTCAAAGCAGCTAGACTGGTTAACTTGCCGTCCTCAATGACAATCCTTTTCCGTGACTGCCCTTATCAAGAATATTGGAGGACATTCACTATACAATTATGGTCTTATGTGATATCAGATATGCAGTGCTGATTCACAGTAATACTGGGAAAACAATTTTGTAAGTAAATGAAAGATGATAAACTAAAGATGAAGAAGAATGACTATCTGTATATTACAAATCTCTCAGACCATTTCAGTAAAGCACACACTTTTACATAAAGATAAATACAGAAGATTAAAAATGATTCTGAATGAAGCAGTTTGTTCAGGTCTGCTCTCATTGTACATTTTATTTACAGCTCTATGGCAGTGGGCCTAGCAATGAACTGAATATGCCTTTTAAAGAGAGTGAGAGAGAGAAAAAATAATGGAAACGACTAGTAAATAGATGTTAACTATATCCAATCTAACAAAACATAAAGAGTATAAAGACAATACAAAAACAATACATAATTAACACTGTATGTAATACCCAATGTTTACATAAACGTTAAACTCTTATAATTTTAAGTACAGTATGTACAGTTTGCAGGGATGTGACTCTTTACTGTTATTACCATTTTCCTTCAATATGGCAATCTATTATGGCCATAATACCAATGCTCCTGAAGCATGTGAAGGGAATCCTGGTGTTGCTAATGTGATGTGAAATGCATCTTCCAGATTTTTCTGAATGTCTTCAACTATAAGGTAGTTTAGTCTATTGAGAAGGGTAATCAAATGAGTATACAAAGTGAGTGTTTCCTTACATTAGAAGCCACTATTTCCACTTTACAAATGAGTTAAAACCAATTACCATTAACTAGTTATAATTCACCACCTTAGTATCTCAAAGAGTCTCCAGAAAATTATCAATCTTTATTTCCCTTAGGAACTACAAGATAAAACAAGACACTGCAAAGTAGTCACATCCTGTACCTCTCATACTTGACAGCTTGACATATTACAACTACTGTGTCTCAAAACAAAAACATCTCACACCAATGTACTTAAAAATGTCCAATTTTAAGTGTACGCAAAAAGAATAAAGGAAATCATTAAATACAAGAATAGAAAAAGTAGAAAAAATATACGGGAAAAAAAAATCTTTGAGAGTCCCCATTTCTCTTTTACTTCATGCCGTTTTAGGGATCTGATATCAGATAATCATTAAACAAGGGATTCATCACATATTTTACAAAATTACTCCCAGACAGCATTTACATGACAGGAGGGCTTATCCTTTGGCTGGTCAATGGAATATGTGCCACTACAGAGCAGTTTTTAAAAGGATGATGATACTGATATCTATGACTTGAAAGGGGAGGGAAGGGAGGGGGAGGGGGAAGATTATGGTTATCACTTCACACAGGTAATCCAACCACGTAAATAAAGACTGGTATTGGTAAGCCATGTGAAGAAAACGTACTTTTTGGTTCCCCTTCAAATCCCCACACTTTGACAAAACCTGATATGGAAATAGGGATATACATGAGTCTTCTTTTGTGAACAACCTTAAAGAATGACTGCAGGAGGATGTCAAAGTTGCAGTGGGGGTTATGGGAGAGACAACCATAATCTTCTGCTGACCGAGAGGAACACTGCCTGCCCCTGTAAGACTAAGCCAATCTCAAATGTACGAGTGAATACTTTCTTTTATTCATTCAAATAATATGTGAACAATCTTCTAAAAAAAATAAATAAAAATAAAAATAAAAATTATCTATAACAAAGAGATGATTACAGTCCCAACAAAATTCAAAGGCAATCAATTAAGCAAATGAGATGACTGTGTAATCTTTAAAGGGACTGAGGTTGAGGCAGGTGAGGGTGTGCAGGTGCTTCAAGTGGTAATATGAGCTTTTATGAACTGGCAACTGTGGCTTTAAAACAGCCCCTTCTTCTTTTTGGTTTTCTCTTTCCCATCCACATGCCTGTTGAAGAAAGAAATAAAAGAAGATCAACAACCATAATAATACTCCCATACACCACAAAACAGAACTACTAATACTAAAGTAATACTGCAAAAAAATATGTAGCCCAGAAACATTCTCTATAACCAGTTGAATGTATGCAGAAAGCACTGGTATGAAAGCAATTAGCACTTAAGGTCAATTTTACTATAATGCATTGTTTGTGTGAGTGAGCTTCAGTTTGATTTTGCATGTTTGTACATGTGCATTTGTGTGTGTGTGTGTGTGTGTGTGTGTGTGTGTGTGTGTGTGTGTGTGTGTGTGTGTGTGTGTGTGTGTGTGTGTGCGCGCGCATGTGCGTGTGTGTGCACAGCGCATCTGTGTATATGTGAATGTGTTTATGCCTGTGACTTCATATGTGTCTTTGTGTGAGCATGAATGCATGCATATACATGAAAATGTGACTGTTAATGAATGAATGTATATTTCTGTAAATCAAAATGTCCATACTTGATTTTATTACTTTCTTAACTCTTCAGATTCATTTACTCAAGATTTTCAGACTGACAAAGACAGATACACACACACACACACACACACACACACACACACACACACACACACACACACACACACACACACACACACACACACACACACACACACACACACACACACACACACACACACACACTCACACACTATACATATACATATACATGCACATACACACACACTAAATATGCATATACATGCCCACTGAGACACCCACACTCATGAACAACAACATACATGAATGCTGACAGACACACATACTCAAATAGATGCAAACATATATAGTGAAGGCAATCATAGTGACTCAGATATAAACATAAACTTAGACAAATACACACACACGCACAAACACACACACACACAAAAGAAAAAAATGATAAAAAGCCTAATCGCTATGCAAGCCAAAAATATAGCCTGATAACATTATTAGACAGAATATATAAAAATAATATAATTTTAATCTACAGTGTATACATTGTATGTAGCCTATTAATCATGACAATTCTACTGTTTTCTACTCAATCTTCTGGTTATGAATTTTAAATTGTAAGAAATGATAATGTTTAAGAATGGGTCTCACACAAATAACATGAAAATAAAATAGGCTGCAAAAGCTAGCAATAATTTGCTAACCATATTATAATGGTGATAATAACAATAATCAAAATAATCAGAATAATGAGAATATGTGGTGTTTATCAGTGTGAAACTATGTGACCCTATTTAAGCATGTAAATGTTAAATATGCATATGCCTATATTGTATATGTTTATGAGTATGTGTAAAAAATCTTTTCAAAATGACTTTCTGCAAAAAACATTTCAAAATACTTCCAAGAACAAAATTTCCAGCCAATGCTGATAACTGAATTTAAAATATCAAAGATTACAATATCATAAGGATAATACAATGTGCTGAAATACAATTTTATAAATACTCTATATATATATATATCTACTTGCACTATATAACAACACTACTAAAGAAGTTGAGAAAAGAAATATCTAAGTAAAGGTTGATTCAAAAGAGAATACCAAGTCTACAAAATGTTACTGATGAAGAAATAAATCCTGAATACTAAGTTTAAACATTACATATATGGACATAGGGCATGTATGCACTTCCATTTCCGTCTTATCATAAGGTAAGGAGTCTTGTATGGCATGAAACAAGATCTAATGTTCCTTTCTTAATATGGTTGTGTTTCATTTCATAAGAATTTGCATATATGTGCAGGGATCTATCTGGGTGTGTGTAATATAAACAGCAAAATTATAATATATATACATATATATATATATATATATATATATATATATATATATATATATATATATATATATATATATATATACATACACACTTATTGATACATACATAGATATACACATACATATATGCATATACATACATAGATATACACATACACATAGGTATACACATATACATATATAGATATACGCATATACATATGTAGATATGCACACACACAGACACATACATATATATAGATATATATTACATATATATACAAATTTTTTTCCTTTCTTTTTCTTTCTTTCTTTATACACACACCCATATGCATATATATACACAGGCATACATAAGAAAAAAATATGAAAATCAAAATAACAAAATAAGAAATCTAACAAAATAAAAATCATTCTACATGGACTTGCAAATAGCTTACAATAAGATGTGTTTGGTCAATGACTTCCGTAAAAACTCTGTTGACAGTGATAACGAAAAGAAAAAGTAAAACGAACAGTAATAGGACAGTGATATAAACAGTGACAATAAATAAATTAGAAAGTATTACTAATTAATCATCAAATTACAGTAATGAAAAATAATACTAACAATGACATTGAGCTGAGTATTACAAAGAAAATAACTTCCATATGAGACCTAATGTGCCTTTCTTAATTATATTTCCTGTTCAATTAGGTACATTATTGTAAAATGTCCACAACTTTGGGATGCTTTCATAAATGATGAGAGATTTTTCCTTCCAAAGAAATTACATCTTTTCAGATACAAGATAAAGTGATATGATAACCAGACCAGATCCACCATAGAAAGAAATTACAGATAAGCCTAAAGAGGTCATGGAGAGTTTAGGCCAAACAGAAACAAAGTGACTATCTGCCCAAAAGCTGTAAACCAGTTCACTTGAATTTCTTATAGCACTAAGAGAAGATGCAAGCAAGGAGTGCAAGTTCTGCCAGAAAAGCAAGCTGGCTCAGGATGTCCTGTTGAGGGGTGTAATAAGGCATTAGTAGGCATTCTCTTGAGAAGGAACAAAAAGTAGGTGACTCATGCTTCCTGAAAAAGCTGTGTTTATTTAAGGCTTCCAAAAGGCATATAGGTGAGAGAAAAGCCTTGAGGAAAGTTCATCCAATTGGTGCTTTGTGCTCATCACTCAGTTTACATGAGGCCAGGTCTCCTACCATCTCATTCTTCTGCACCAACTGTTCAACAATACTGCATCTGCAGTAGTTTGAAATTTTGGAAATATAAAATTTATTAACAAAGGTCCTCTTTTTCCTCTTAAGAATACTTAACAGTACGTCTATACATGATCAAAAAGGTAATAAAATATTGGATCTTACAACGTTAACCTTTTGATGTCTTACTCTTCACCTGCCTCTCACAAACTAGTAGTTCTTGCTAGTGGCCTGCAAGCAGCAAAGGTGTTTATAATGAAAATGCCTGATCTCATATTCTATATCACAGTGGAGGCCAGATGTGTTACATGAAAGAAAAGATATTTAAAGAGCAATCAACTTCCTTTTATTTGAAAATAGGTCACTAATTCATACTACAGTAATGCCCCACTAAAACTGCTTAACCTCTATGAGCCATGGAAACTGTAACTATGTATGTCATAATAATGCCAACCATAGACTTAGATTTGTCTCTGTCTTGTGTGCCTTCTTGTTCTTAGTATGACTGAAGTGGCACACAAGTTAAAACATCAACATTTAACATATATTGCCAGAAATGCATCAGATAAATCGTCAGGGTAAATCAACGGATTATGAACAAAACTTTAACAATACATTTCCACAAACATAAAAAAAAGAATATTTCATATTATACTTCCATTTTCCAATGGACACATCTGGATTCCTTCAAGATATATCTAGCAAAGCTATCAGTAACTCTCTCTCACTCCTGATTACTAGTACATTTTGATTCCTGCTAAAACTGCTTTAGCTATTACATTGGAAAAAATGTTCATGCATATTAATCTTAAAATAACTTCCTAATATATATTTTTTCACAACTCTGGAGTATCTTATGAACTATATGTGAATACATTACTACATCATTTCTTTCCTTTCACTGATCTAGTGAATAATGCATTACTTATTTGTAAAAATACACATTTGTGTATCTGTTTTACCATACCTGAATCTATGATTATTACGGGGAAAATAGATGTATATAAATAAATGCTCTGAGATTAACTGCACTTTACTAAGTTGTAAAATCATATCAAGGTGATGATATTTGAAGTACTCTATACAAAACTTATGTATATTGCAGTCAATAAAAATTAACTTGCCTGAGTATCAGATCATAGTTTCTAAGTTTATCATAATAATGCTAATCTGAGAATAGATAATCCATATATCTATACATTGCATATACATTTTTTTCCTGGTGGATATGATAAATGTTCGCTAACACGAAACGAACTAAAGGTATTGAAAATCAAAACATATTTGCTTAACATTTTGGCAGATATAATAAAAATTAAAATAAAAGAAAAAAAAATCAGCAACTGGCAAAATAAGTAAGAAAAAAGATCAATCCTTTTAAAAACTTGAAAATAGTATAGTAATGGGAAAAAAAAAATAACAAGGTGTGCTATTACGTATCAGTAACCCTCATAATCCAGACAAGGTATCTTGCCCCACTACTGCTGGTTACACTGCTCATTCTGTTTGAATTTATGTCTGGGAAGAGAGTAGGTACGAGAGAACTTAGGGGAGCTCTTTTGAGAACTTCCCGAAGCACTGCTGGATGACGCCAGAGAAGAGGTCCTGTTAGTGGGAGGTAGCCCAAGGTTAGTGCACACTCATTCTGGTGTTACTGCAATTAAGTTTGTTAAAAGAAATTCTCTGAGCTACTGTGCACCTTCTATTCTTTTCTCTCAAGTGCTGCAGTGATTCCTAATCTTTTACACTTTTCATTCATTTGAAAAAAATACTGTACATCAATGCTGTATATGGATCTTAGCCATGAAGCCTTGCTATTCAGTCATGCACCATTTAGTCAGTTCAGTGACACACACAAATGATATGGATGTAAATATAAACACACAAACCACAAGGAAAATACTATCTACTTCATAAAATAAAAGGAACACATCTATACCTAGAAATAATACTCATAATCTGAAAGAGCTAAATATAACAATATTTAAAGTTGCACTGGCACAAAACTATTGATGAGAATGAAAGAAATCTTAAAAGTTGATCTAAACAGAATATCTGACAAGACTGAATAAAAACGACAGTGTCTGTTTATGTTTAGCTGCTATCTATGCTATTGAAGAACACGAATGCTCAACGAATGCTCCAATGTGACAAGAAATCACACTTCGGTACTGACTGAACTCCATAACCTATCATTCATTCCTCTTACATCAAGCAGGCAAATGCAAACTTTAACTAGCTTTAAATTAAAGAGCAAAAGGAAGGAGACACTGCTTATTGTGATCATTTATCATGCAAGTAAGTTGGCTACAAAATGTGATTCTCTATTCCTTAGCAATAATGTCTAAAAATGTAATCATAGGGAAATGAGAGTAAGTGTACGCCCAATAAATGTCCTTCTGAACCATCCGTGGCTATCTAGTGATGATACCAAAGTAAACATTTGTGGAGTGTAAGAAAAGTGAAATGGTGTCTCTGATGCCTATGAAAAGAAAGGTTTCTGATGTTTTCACATTCTGTTGACTGCCTGAATAAAGAAGCTGGCATAACGGTTGATTCTGCACTCCCTATGTTTGAAAAGTTGTGGAAGACAAAAGGACTCTTGAGACCTCAGACCCAGTCCTAATACTTTTTAATGGGATAAGTAATTTGCTTTTTAATACTGACATAGGTATTCCTTTGCTAATTCAATTTACACTCTGGATGAGGCTCTACAAAAGTCTGGAACTTGCCTTGAGGTCTCAGAAAAATCTTCATGCTATGTATTAAGATTTGCAACCCTTGGACATATCCACAGATCTGGATCAAATCACATTCATATCTTTAAATATAGCATACAGTTCCTAAAATCTGTACTAATATATTTGCAATTTCAAATAAAAAAAAAAAAATAAAAATATAGATGTAGCTACCTATATATGTATATGTATAAACATATGCATGTTTGTGTATATATGTATGTGTATATATATAATTATACAAACACACACATATACAGATAAAGACATTTATAAACTACTACACATTTCTACAGTTACAAAATATCACATAAGACATCAATATCATAATATCAGTAACCATTTATTAGATAAAAAATGACACAAGAGGGTAGAAAGCAGTCCCAAAAATCGTCTAATCATGGGGAGATATAAGACACATTCATAAAATACTGGGGGTCTGAAAATCATTTCTGTATAATAACAGGAACTCTTTTCACCAAAACTCTCAACCTGAACTTACCTTACCAGTTACCTGTAACATGAACCTCATACTTCTGCCCTAAAAAATGGATCATCAACAAACAAATGAGCTAAATCTACAGTTCTAATTTACTGCTGCTTGCCATTAATTCTAGAAAGTTTTTTACTTTTCAATGCAGAAGAGTGTAAAGCCACCAGAAATAGGAATTTCAAAATAATCAAGTAAGTCCTTCCTGATTTAGAATGATTTCTCTTATAGGCTCAAGTATCCCTGAAGACTAGAACTACTGTTTCAGTATCACTTAAGAACTAAAAAAATAAAACAGATTACCCTACAAGCCTACTGCTGACAAAATCAATCATAATCAGTATCTGCTATTGGACTATCTAAATCTATAAGCTTAAAAGACTGATTGCATCTTTACTTACACGAGACGTGTATTTGATGTAGTGGAGACGAGAGAAGGCTAGGTAATGGCTTTCTGCCTTGTGAACTACACTGAAATTTTTCTTTTACTTTTACCATGCACTCATTCCTAGAAACCTATCCTTCCAAGAAACCTATCCTCAAAAAAAATGCATGCTACCTTAAGCATTGGATCCAGGTGATGCGACTGTCATGCCAAGAAAAATTTGGCTGAGGGCTGGGGTGATGGGATTATAACATTATGAAAAATTTATAAGACAGGGTGACAGGAAGGGTTCTCTATGATTGCACAAAGCTCTTGGAGGAAGTTTAGAATTACTGGGCATTTAGGATGGTACTCTTGCATGAATTCCAATGGTAAATGAAAGTGGGATATTCCATCCATGGCCGGTAGAGTGCTACCTCCAGGGAGGATAGTATTTCCATGCTCAGGATCCTATTACTGCCCCACCATGACCAGCAACACAGGGTGTGTTTCAGAATATTGAATAACACAAAGATATTTAAAAAGACAAATAATACAGTGTTACACAATGTCACTGTTACTGAACAGAGCTGTAGACTGTCTACAAAGATAATAAGGAATTTAAGGAGTTTGCTCAAGGAAAACAATCAATTATTATACAGATATAGCATATCAAATACAGACCTTGAAAAATGGCAAATAAGCAAACACTTATGCAGAAAAAGAGATAATAACAATGCTAAGGGAAGGCAAAGAAATCTTAATATTGCACATGAGTGTTTGTGTGGGCTGGGCCTACAAGCCACACACCCGAGAAAGTTGCCACTTAAGTAAGCCTTAATTTTGGTCCATGTGCAGGCAAAGAGTCACCTGAATCCAATGGGTTAAGCAGAAAAAATCTAGCTTGAATCTATATGAACAATACATTAACTGAAGAAGGAGTAAAAATTTATATGAATATCATGGAAGGGGATGCTTACAGACAGATGAAAATAGATTATGAATCCTTACACTTGTAATACAGCCACCTATACACTGAATTTAGCAAAACCACTTTTCCATAATGAATATACCCTACTTGTCTATGATTATGATCAAATTTAAATCTTAAATGTTTAAAGTCACACCTGTTTTCTCATATTTGGTGAGCACTGCAGTCAGCCTTCTGAATGGATGGTAGTGTGAGTTTTTTTCACACACACACACACGTGCACACACACACACACACACAAAAATGATACTGCTATTTGTCTATGGGCTGAGGTTGAATCTGAATGTAGCATTCAAAGGGTTAGTGGTATTAATCATACAGTAACACTACAATGGAAGGCTTAAATGTTAATTGTTGTGATTCAAAAACCTTTACAGAAGGATCATGAGTGGGAAACATTACCTCTCACATCCTCAGTGAAAAGAATAAGTGAATCTTAAATTCTCAGGTAAGCAAAATATAAACTATTGGAAAAAAAATAAGTGAGACCTGAACTGGGATGCTGTCTTTAAAAAAGGTTCATTACATATAAAAGTAACTTTTTGTATGAGAAAAGGGCAGAGAAAAAGAATGACAAATGGTCACTGTTAATATAGTTTCTTATAGCAAAGTACTTTCACTTCATGACATCTGCAAAACATTAATAATTTTATAAATGTCTAAACATTAAAGAATCTTAAAGAAACGAACAAGCTAGCAGGGAAAGCTGTTGCTATTCAAAATAGAAATAGTTAAATGTTGAAGTTGGAACTCAAAAAAAAAAAAAAGTTGGCATAAAAATGGATATTGCAAAAATATATCAACTAAATGGTTAAATGTGGATTAAATAAAAAGCCAATTTGCAATGCAACCAACCATGGCATCCTGATGATTTTGAAATCAATGACATTATATAAAAAGCCTGCAGATTCAAAGAATACATATCAACCCTATTTAGTAATCACGTAAGTAACTGGCTTAAGCATTGCATATCAAAATAAGGAAGTGACTGGGCACATATACATGACTTATACAGTGTAAAAGCATGTCCTGATAAATATTAGATTTTCCTGTTGGCTAAAGGAGACATATATATGAAGTAGAAAAAGAGAAGCCATACAGAAGAGCAAGGGGGGGAGAAGAAGAAAAAAAAAAAAGCCAAAAATATTTCAACATAACAATTACCTCTCTGATATTTCCATGATGTAAACTAACAAATAATAAACAAATACAGTCTTACAATTTTAAATTCATTGCTATTCAACTAATATACAATATTTAATAATCGTAATTTCTTGGCAACTAAATACTGAAACATTGAGATAAGCAATATATTGACCGTATTATGAGCAAATCCCCCCAATGTCTCTTTATGGCTGGTAAAATCTATGCCAGTTCTCTCATCCAAAGTAATTCCGACAATCAGAGAATAAAGAGCAGGGAAAAGAAAGACGACAAAGAGGATGGGGATGAGGGGAATGTTACTCTGCTTAAGCCAGAATTGATAATCAATTAAGTTTCCTTACTGGTTATCTTCCCGTTCTTCAACTAAGACGGAATTAGCAAGTACAACCTGGTGTTAATCAGCGCATATTTCAACAAGCGCAAAAAACAGGGGCCATATCTTGTGAACAGAAGCATCAGCATGATACATTACCTATGGTCTAACTTACCTTTAACATGCAACTAATTGTAAATAAAATACAAAAAAAAGTATAAATTGGTCCAGTAGAAATGAAGAGAAACTGTATTTTTTGAAAAATATAATGAATATTTACTTTCAACTCGTGCTTCAAACTGGGGATACGGAAATACTGTAGATAGTAAATCATTATTGTTGACGAAAACACTATCTGAATAATAATAATGAATAATAAAAATCTACCAAGAAAAGGAAAGAAAAATAAATAATAATAAATAAAAGGATAAACGATGAACCTAATAAAAAAAGAGGCATTACTCACTCTCTACTGATGGATTCTAAAGACTTCCGGTGCAGCTCCTCAACGGTGATGTTATTGGCAGCTTCCCATGCCTTCTTCTCTCGCTCAAATCGTTCTCGTTCTTCTTCTAATTCTAAGGTATCTGACTCAAGCTTCTTACGCATAGTCTCATTGCGTTTTTGTAGCTGTCAATCAAATCGCAATAAATCCTATTGATCTTGGAAAATAACCTTCTCTACCATCACTACTATTACAAAAATATGCTTAAAATTTACAGACTATATTTCTCAACATTTCCTACTAAATGGAAAGATTGAAATCAAAATAAATCAATCAATATTTACCAATTAGAAAGATAAAAGAGAAAGAGAGAGAGAGAAAAAAAAAAAAAAAAAATGCATTTTACATACGTCTTGCTCTAGCTCATTCAGTTTTCCCATTTTCTCCTTGACCTTCATCTCGAAGACCTGCTCCATCTCTGCCTCCATCTTCTTCATGCGGTTGGTGTGCTCGTTCTTTTCCTCCTCCATCTGAGCCAGTGGGTTCCTAGAAGAGTTTGCAAATTATGCACTGATCACAACACATTTTTGAAAACAAACTAAATCATATCATGAGAACCAATACAGTAAAAGCTCAGCATAGAGCTATCAAAGATACATGCTAACTATTAAAAGGCCTAAAACTAAAAGATTCATAGTTCATAATGAATGTTAATCGTGAAAGTTATCTTTGTTCTTCTGGATATCATACTCAGCCTTGACTCTGTAAGTGTAAATTGGCTGGAGTACCCAGTAACAAAATAAAGATATGACTAAAATCTAATTACCATCAAAAATAAAAGCCTATAATGCCTGGTTAACCTCTACAGCAATCACAAGATGCTTTTTATACATTGCATTATCTAATATCAAGAGGGATGAACATTTTAAAGAAATCAACAAATGATCAAAGTCGGTATAGGTTATTATGTCATTATCTTTTTTTCTACAGGTCTAAGGGGTAAAATTGTATGAGACATATTAAGCCCTCTCAATTTGATTAAAAGATATCTATGATGACACAAGCAACAGGGATAGTACTAAAACTCTCCAAGTTAACTATCTGTTCTATTCAAGCTTTGGAAAAATATGAGGTGTATCCATATTCCCTTATTTCTGGGAGCCATTTGCTTAATTCACTCACTCTAACATGCACACACAAACTTTTTCTCTCTCTTTCTCACACAGACACAAACAAAAGATACACAAACGCACATCAAGAGAGTTTTACTCGTTCAGTTTACCATGACTGACACTGCTATCTAATTTGTCTTTTCTTTAATAAACATATTTCTATAAAAATCATGCTTGCTGGACTAAAAATCATATCACTTAACACCTACAGTGTATAAAATATGGCTACAGAAGGAAAAAGTTGAGGGTGCTAATCAAAAGTGCTTGTTCACACCAGAAAGTGATAGGAAATGCACAAAACAGAGTTCTGGGGGGAAAATCAAGGCTAATCTGCTACAGAACAATACGGGTAAAATTCCTTGACACTAGTTCTTACGCTAAACTTGTTACTATGTACTTCATGCATGATCAAACATGCCTTCAAATCAATAATCATTAAATGTTTATACTTTTCAAGAGAACAGATCAATAATTCAAGTAATTATTTAAGCATGTATTAATCACAAACTGATACTGTGTAAAACTAAATTTGTGATGACAAACTAACTACATTTTCAAGTACCAACATTCCTTAAAGAAAAAGAAAAAGAAAAAAGTCATCCCGCTTTCAACCAAACCAATGATATTATCACCTTTGGATGATAAAAGGTCAGACCTACTTATTCATCACTTTTTTTCACACTATCTGATAAAAGTGATGAATCATGTCACTTGAGCATATTGATAATCTAGATTACAAATTAAACGCATAAACCAAAAAGAACGAAATGAAAAGATAAACAATGCATTGCCAGAAAGCTACCTACTTGTGAGGTTTCAGAATTTGTGATATTTCAAAGCAAATCCTCAGCCTTAATAATCCTAAGTCATTTTCAAAAAAAGCAAGAAATGAAGCTTGTATCAATTTTACTGCAAGATGGATTTCTGGAAAGCATTAACACCAAACAAACAAAGTTTTTGTTCATGATCTCAGGTGATAAATGATGTATTCATCATACACACAACCATTATTGGGAAAGTTATCATCACCATAGTCAAAGTGATGATAGCAATAATAGCAGAGAAAAAAATATCTAGTGAAAATTCTTCTTCCAAATTTTATCTGAAATAATTCTTAAAAACAGAAATGAATTTCAACAATAAATTTGTGTAATCAAAAATAAGAACAGCTAGATACTTCTGCTCCCACCAGTTTTGTTAACTGATATTCTTTCACATAAACCAAGAGTGAGACTTGCACTTAAAATATTCATCTAAGAATACGGGACAAATCTAAATTTCTTAGATACTACAGACTTACTATTAAATATTCATGCCACACAAGTAATGATCATTTTTTTTTTCGTAAGACTTTCTATCATAAGGCTGAGAAAGAGACAAGGTATACGGTGATGCTTGGAACACAACCCCACTTACCAAACCGCAACATAACTGTTCACAATCCTCTGAGGGCATGAAGGGCTGAATCAAAATCAACATCAGAAATGTGAACAGTAGAATTTTTCATATAGGGTGTACTACAACAACTCAAGTGCCATTGGAATAAAAGACAGACGGGAATTATCCATCTTGCAGGGGCAGTTCAAGTGGAGCCACTTAACATTCATTATGGGACTATGAAATGAACCTAATATCTAGCTTAAAAATGACCTTAGAAACAGTTTGGTTAAAAGGAAAATTGAGAAGTACAAAGGGCAGGGGGAGAGAGAGGAGAGGGGAGAGGGAGGGAGAGAGGAGAGGAGAGAGAGAGGAGAGTGGGAGGAGAAGAGGAGAGAGAGAGGAAGTGGGAGGGAGAGAGAGGGGAAGGAGAGAGGAGAGAGGAGAGGAGAGGAGGGGAGGGGAGGGGAGGGAGAGGAGAGGAGAGGAGAGGAGAGGAGAGGAGAGGAGAGGAGAGGAGAGGAGAGGAGAGGAGAGGAGAGAGAGGAGAGGAGAGAGAGGAGAGGAAGAGAGGAGAGGAGAGGAGAGAGAGAGAGAGAGAGAGAGAGAGAGAGAGAGAGAAAACACAAGACAGGAAAACAGGAAAGAAGAGAAGTGAGGAAAAAATGAAAAAATAGACAGTAGATAGATACCAATAAAAAATTCTTGATCAGCTATGTGTACTAATTCTTTACTTCACTCTAAACTAAAGTGCATAGTTGAATCATTACATAAAGAAATATACAATCATATTGCAACATATGCCAGTATGTGGATAGTTATAATTCATGAGGGGGGGAAAACTGTCATAACCAAGCTGTACTGTACCACTACTGGTGCGAGTAACCTAGCAGTGCAAACTGGCAAGATTCATTGCAGTCCAATGCATGAGGAGAGAAACTAAAACATCAAACACATTGCATGAAACTATTTTTCCATTATCAAAAAAATCATTGCTAGGTTCAAGGCAAAGTTCTATCACCTGCATAACGTACCGAGTATGCTACTCACAACAAACATTAACATGGGACCTCTACATCACATCTTTCATGATAATAATGTAAAAATTGTTTTCATGATAAAGGCACCATACATATATATATCTCCCTTTCTATGTAACTTTATATTTTGGTTCATTTCAAGGAAAAAGAAACTCTAACATTAAAGTATATCATAATGTTCGTACCATGCTTCAACACTGACTATGAAAGAACAATATAAATCTTAACATCCTCTAAACAGAATAAAATTTTAACAACAGTGACTGAAGAAAAGGCTTAATCAGTTTACAACACAAATCAAGCATTAATGTGATAGCTGTATGTAAATGCTGAACACAATAATAACTAAGCAAACCCTTTGTGTTATAAGGTCTTTCTTAACAATCTATTGTTTACATATACTTGTAAATTCTTTAATGCAATAATGGGTCATTTATAAATAAAAAGAATTACACAATACATATCTTTCATGTCCATTTTCAGTTTCAAGATCAACTAGTTTAAAGAAGAAAGAGTAAACACCATGCATTGTTATTCAGTAAAAGCCAAAGGAATTTCAACCCTAACAATATAAGAAGAAACACATATATGGTGCCCTAATCACGATATGCACACTGAGATAAAACGAGCAGTGGACGCAGGGAAATCAGTAATATCCAACTTACTTGTTCGTTATCTTGATCTTTCCATCTGTTCCTCCGATACCTGCTAATTTACGACACCTATAGTTCTCATAATGTACATTGTTGGTGACATCCTTGAGGTCCTGCATGTGAGTCCGAATCAGCATATTGCGAAGGGGAATGAAGTCGCAATGTTCCATGTTTTCCACTGAAAAGATTTGATGCTGTTCAAATCTGCTATGCAACATCAGGTTTTCTTCATTTATACTTTCTTGGATATGTACAAATATCATATGTGGTATCTGAACATTGTACAGAGTAGAAACATAAAAAAAACACTGGTAACAAATCATGTACAGATATACCAACATTTCATCTGTATATTTCAACTTTACTGGTAAAATTGTATTAAAAACATTAAACATTTGCTCCTTCGTAAAATCATTTCTGAAAAAGAAACACCTATTACCTTCTACAACTCCCCATGGATATCTGCGACCCCTTAGTTTCTTTCCATCAACTTCTACTGTTGTGTTGGACCCGACGACAGCAAATGGCACACGTTGTTTCATCTTGATTGATGTAGGATCTGACTCATCCTCTGGGAACTCGTAGATCTTAATCTTATGCTGAGCGATTTCGTTGAGTATCTGAAAAAGGAAACAAAGAAAATCTAAGAATCAACCAATAAATGTATGAAAAAAGTATGGCAGTTTACACCTAATATGTGGAAAGTAATGACAAAACAAAAGATGAAGAAGAAGAAGAAGAAGAAGAAGAAGAAGAAGAAGAAGAAGAAGAAGAAGAAAAGGATAAGCTTTGTATTTCCCTTTGGCTTTTGAAGGCAGCTTTTGAGTTTGCCTAAAATAAAAATAAAAACATGAATAGAGAATATATCAAAACAGTAATGACATAACACAAAAAAAAATCACCCAGTTTAGAGATTTACCTGCTTCTTCAAGTGCTGACACTCATCAGGTGTGAGTGTGTCTGCTTTGGCTATGACAGGAATGATGTTGACCTTGTCATGGAGACGCTTCATGAACTCCACGTCCAGAGGTTTTAGACCATGACCGGAAGGAGCAATGTAGTACAGGCAACAGTGTACCTGCAGAAATTCAATGACAAAGCTTTAATTTGTTTTTTCTTTATTAAAAAAATAAGGGAAAAAAACATTTACAAATTATTCTATAAACAAACATACAAGCAATTTGCAAAACCTAATAAGTGCTTCTATTATTGCAAATATGCTTTTTTTCTTTTCTACAATACAAAGTATCTTACTGGGAGTCATATATAAAAACACACAACAATTACTTACCCTGCTATCACTAATCTGTGTTCTGTTAACCCTAGATTCACAATTCAGATATTCTTCATATTTCGATTCCACGTACTGTATTACTGGCTGCCAGCTGAAAAGTTAAGAAAAAAATATTATTCATTTATTCATCATTATTTTGTGTGTGTGTGTGTGTGTGTGTGTGGGGGGGGGGGGTGTGGTGTGGTGTGTGTGTGTGTGGTGTGGTGTGTGTGGTGTGGTGTGGTGTGGTGTGGTGTGGGTATGGTTGGTGTTGGTGTGTGTGGTGTGGTGTATTTGCGTTCGTGCATGCGTGTGTGGTATGGTGTGTGTGTGTTCGCGCACATATATGTATGTGTGTATTTGCGCACATATATGTGTACGTGTATTAGTGTGTGCATGTCACTATAAAAAATTGGAAGTACAAATCTTCATAAAACTGTTATCCCATCTTCAAATCTTTTAAAACATCCGATTACTACACCACTAAATAAATAAACGAAGGTGAAATGAGAGCCGACAGCAATAAACCACTCGATTCCCCCCCCGACAGCATTTTTTTTTTTTTTTACTTTGAAATGTTTATTGACAAAACAAACAAACAAACAAAGAGACTGACCAATCGCTGTTGTCCACGGCGTCGCCAAAGCCAGGTGTGTCGACTACCGTAAGCATCAGGTTAACACCGTTCTCCTTCAGCAGAACCTTCGTGGTCTCCACCTGCAAGAATAGTCATAAGAAAAAAAAAAAAAAAAAAAACACCGTTCAAAGCACAAGAACGAGGTCTTAAATGTCAAGGAAATCGTTAGGGAAATATTGCTTTTTAATGAATCAATTGACGGAAACCCTTGGCTTTTTATTTTCCTAATTAAGTAGCCTACCTGCACCGTCTTCTTGACTCTGTGAGAAGGTCCCGGGTGGTCGTTGGAATATATGTCAGACAGGAACATGGAATTGATTAGCGTGCTTTTGCCGAGGCCGCTTTCGCCTGCGGAGAAAAAAGAACATGGATCAATTTGCGTTTCTATATCAAATAATTAATATCAGATTAATTTTTCTAACGAAATATTAAAATTAATGTATGCACATGGGTTGATGAGAGCTTGTGTAGGCTGTACACTACACTATGTATATAAATGTGTAGATTAAAGGTAAACCTCCAAACATCGAAGCCATAATCACGGAGTAATAGACAAAAAAAAAAAAATAATAATAATAAAAAAGACAATAAAAACAAATAAAAAATAAATAAATAAAATAATAATAATATACAAATAACTCGATGACATGTCTCTCTCAAACCCCTGTAAAGACAGAAGAGGAGGGGAGTGAGAGAGGTGAAGAGAGAAGACGAAAAGGGAAAACGGAGGGAGAGGGCAAAGGACAAAAAAAAAAGAAGGGTATTTAAACAAGAGGCAAAAAGCGACTCTCACGAATGCCACCATCGCCACAGTGCCAAGCCTATTCCACAGGACGAGATCCTAAACAGAGTATAAACACAGGATATGCCTGGTCGTTATTATATTTCCTCTCAGTGGCTGTCGTGTTCTCCTCTCAACCCATTCCTCCACTGGAACGGTTTACACGCGGACCTTGCAATTTTGCCCTTTAAATGCAATAAAAAATTAAAACTCCCCTAACCGAAACAGTTCGTAAGTTTATTCCTCTAATACTCGACCATATATCCGGAATTCATGAAGCTTTGTGAACCGAGCTGCGAGTGAATCAACGTCTTTACACCACCAACTCGACCTAATAAGAGAGAAGGCGCCAGGTAGTATATTAACGTGAATATACAATAACAAGGGACCCCGCGTGGGAGGCCAAAGCAACGGCTGAGGACGGACCCTCTCCTTTCCGTCTCGCTTCCCGTCTCGTCTCGTCTCGCGGGGGAAGTGAATCAGCGAACCAAACCTTCTATTTCCAACCGTTCGAAACCGCAGTTGACGTCCATTTCCGCGGTCGACTTGGAGTGACATCATCGACATCAGGAAACCAGTCTTGAAAACATGACTAACCTTCATCACACACTTGGACGGTGTAATTAACAAGACCCCAATAATGTGCTCACACACTTGTTCTTCGTCCCCCTACCTCTCTTCTTTCCTTCTTTCTTTCTTTCTTCCTTTCTCCTCTCTCTGTTTCTGTCTGTCTCTCACTCACTCTTTCTCCCTCCCCCCCATCCATATCTGTTTTCTTCCCTTCTTCTTCTCTTTCCTTCCTCCCTCCCTCCTCTTTCTTTCGCTTCCTCCTCTTCTCCTCTCCCTCCCTCCCTCAAGAGTACATACAATTTCCGTCAACCCCATTTCTTTTTTCTTTTCCTTTTCTTTCTGAAAGGATCCCCCCCCCCAGCACCTCGAGTCCTCACCCAAGAACTCCTTCATCTCCTCGCTGTTTCCGTAGGCCCCCCCCCCTAACCCCCCTAACTCCCTTAACCTCCCCCTCCTCTCCCCTCCCCTCTCCCTAACCCACTTACCCTCCTCCCCCTCCCACTCCCCCTACCCCCTAACCTCCCCTCCCTCCCCCCTACCCCCCCGAACCGGTTCAACGGGTCATGTACAGTTTTCCCGTCCCCTTCTCCTCGCGTTACGGTTCGCCGATGCCCATTCGCCAACCAGCAACCCGATGATTTGACGGATTCGCGTGACAGGATCGATTCGCGGCTGCATCGGAATGGCAAATGAACTTTCTTTTTTTTTTTTCTTTTATCTTTTTTCTTATTTTCATCTATTATTCATTTATTATTTTCATTATTTTTTATCTATTATTATTTTTTATTTACTTTATTTTAGTCGCTCTTACTATGATGATGAAAATATGTATGTTTGAAGTAATTATGTTTTTTCGCTGCAAGCAATAGCATAGATTTCGCATGATGATGAATGAGGATGTGATTGGATGACGTGTGTGTGTGTGTGTGTGTGTGTGTTGTGTGTGTGTGTGTGTGTGTGTGTGTGTGTGTGTGTGTGTGTGTGTGTGTGTGTGTGTGTGAGAGAGAGAGAGAGAGAGAGAGAGAGAGAGAGAGAGAGAGAGAGAGAGAGAGAGAGAGAGAGAGAGAGAGAGAGAGAGAGAGAGAGTGAGAGTGAGTGAGTGCATGTGTGTGTTGTACGCGCGCGACGCATAAATCGTATTTTTTAATCTGTGCTATCAATATCACACACACAGAACGTACAACTCTGGCTCAAGTATACCACTCACACACACACACACACACACACACACACACACACACACACACACACACACCACACACACACACACACACACACACACACACACACACACACGTACGTCTCCCGCCCTTCTCAGAACAGGATGTCGAATATACATTTTGCTCTATTAAGACGCCGCAGCCGGAGTTCGCGAGACGGGGACTGCAGAGACTTGGTGGGGGGTTATGGGGGGTAGGGGTAGGAGGAGTAAGGATCGTTGGAGTGTGTTGGAGGGTGCAGGTGGACGATAGACTTGTGAGGCGTAGAGTGAGCAGTGGTGGACGGTGGGGTGGGTGGGGATTCGGCGGTAGGAGTTAGGTGCTGGGAGTGGCCGATTGAGAAAGTAAAGGAAGTGAGGTGTTGAGCTGTAAGGAATGGAAATGTGGTAGAG